TCCACAAAGGCTGATTTGGGGATTGTTTTAATCTGACTTGACACGAAGAACACCTCGGTCACGGTGGCTCCAAGGAGGCGTGGGATTTCTGTCGCTGACTTACTGAAAACCTTCTGGTTCTCGCTGGGGCAGTCGGTCTCCTTCTCACATTGCTGGTCTTGAGTCAGTGAGAAGTCAAACAGTAGAGACAGAAAAAGAACGATGATTCGTCTTCTTGACATTTTCAGTCACTGCAAAAAAGAAAAACACGTTTTCAAAGTGTGTTTAAGCTGTAATTGAATAAAATACTATTTCAAATAAATCTTTTATCTTCCTGCTTTAGTGATGGCGCTACTTTTATGGTTTCTATCAGCTCAAAATTACATTTTATCCCCTTAAACTGGTTTTCTTATTTCAGTAAAAGTACAAAAAATAAGGTTTAAGTAAAGCACTGTTTGGAATAAATCTCATCCATCTTTCTGTTTTGGTGATGGCAGTTTACTTTTGTGGTTTCCATCAGCTTAAAATTACATTTTGTCTATTTAAACTGGTATTTTAATTTAAACAAAAGTGTATAAATGAGGTTTACATAAAGTACAGTTTCATGTAAAATCATTTATCTTTCCATTTTAATGATATCATTTCACCTTTTGTGGTTTCTATCAACCTGAAATTACATTTGGACCCTTTTAGTTAGAATTTTAACTTCAGCAAAAGTGCAAACATCAGGTTAGTAACTTCTTTAGCATGGAGCTGCAACTCAACCACTGTTTGCAAAATCAAGTTTTAGATTTTATTTTAGGGTAAAGCAAAGATTTAAACTGGAAAAACTGGAAACCTTAGGTGCCTTTTCTTCAAGTTAAGCTACAGCGAACCTCATTTGAGAGGAATAAATGATTTAAGTGCATCTAACTTTAAATTAATTTGGATTAGAACGATTTGATTACCTGTTGCAGCAATTCATTCAAGTCTTTTTTTTTCATTGTGTAACTTAAAAGCTTGTGGAGTTATCTTTGAATCTCTGTGCTGTGAAATGCTGAAAACAAACAAATTGAACATTTGCCTACCTGATTACTTCCTGAAGCCGAGACGAGACACAAACAAGCAGCGTCTCATTAGTTATCTTCTGCGTCGACCTCGAGCTCGCGAGTCCCACGTGAGGCGTGGCGAAGCAAACTTCTGCAGCTCGAGATAAGAGCGAGTTTTTCAGTTACTGCGGGTCTGTCGGCTCCAAGATGACCAAATTAATGTATTTGTACTTATTCCTGACATTTACTGGGGTTCTGGCATTCTGGGTAATAAACTAAATTAAAAGCAGCCGAGGATTTGGTTTTAGGCCTGAAATGTGCTCCTTTAAAGGCAAAGTTTTATAGCATTTAGCTCCCAGATGTTTCATTATTTTCACAGGAAGAAAAAAAAACGCTTTTACTTCCCAAGACTGATTAGAGACAGAATGCATTTAGTCTGATATAAGCAAACGGGCTCCTTGGAAGAACTGACACAAAGCAACAGAGAGCTCACAGATACCACATCTTGACTTTAGTAGACAAGAAAGTGTTGGTGGAGACACTTTAGATGGAGATACGGGATGAGCAGAACCCGTTTTAATCATCTGAACAAGCAGCTATCTGAGGTTTTTGGTTTTTTTTCCTGCAAACCAAGTGGCTGCAAAATGCAATGCAATCCAATACGAGCTCAGCTACAAACTTTACTTACTTTAGTTTTAAATAACACTGTCACAGATTTTATTTTGACTGTATGTTTATTACTGAGGTTGTAGATTGAAGTTGTGTTGGACTGAAATGTGTTAGATGGTTTCTATTCAAACATGAGGAGCAGCCAGAAATATGAGAAATACAGTTAGTTCTACTGACAGAATAAATATAGCTGCAGTACCTACCACTCAGTGTGTGAGATGTGGAGCGATATTGGAAAAAATTAATTAAAATATTACATGTGGTAGCCAGGATACCAGAAAATGTTGGTACACTGGTATATTAAAAGACAAAAAAATGCTGAAATAACTGCAAATATCTCTAGAAGTAATGATATTTTTACTAACTTAAATATATTAAAATATAATGTAAATTTCAGTCAAGAAAACAACAACATTGTGGACATGATGTGCACAGTTTTGTTGGTCAACATGTAAATAAAAATCTGTTCTTCTGAGGTTATACACTCTAAAAGGTAATACCAACGCTACTTGAAGCACATTTACTTATTTCTCATTGTCCTGTTCATTTAACTCATGGACTGTATGTACTCATTGTTCCTTAAAGAGTTATAAAACTAAGTACACTTGAGTAAACTGGACTGGAAACGTTCTGTTCCTGGACTGAACACGGAGCTCAGCAGTGCACATGTGCAGTAGAGAAGTTTCCAGAAACTTTGCGGGGCGGCTGTGGCTCAGGTGGTAGAGCGGGTCGGTCAATGATCGGCAGGTTGGCGGTTTGATTCTGCCATAGACTGTCTAAAAGATGGACGTAGCAACCGGCCCTGAAAAATGAAGCCAACC